TTCTGTTTAGCATCACACTGATGTGCAATATAACTCAGAAACAGAGATCCACTGACAAGTAAGAACGAATGAATGGTTGAATGAATGGATGGATGAATGGATGGATGAATGGATGGATGGATGGATGGATGAATGGATGGATGAATGGATGGATGAATGGATGGATGAATGCCTTTATCGTCATTACACAAGGTACAACCGAACTGGAAGACTATCCTTGTCAGTGCAAGAAAGGAAAAAGTCAGGAAGGATACAAATACGAAAAAGCGAATATGAATAGAATATAAAAAAATGAATATAAACAGAATAAATAGAAAACAATATAAATAAGTAAGTAACATATAACATTAAATATAAAAGGAGTGTAAAGAATAAAAAATGTAAACAATGTAATAATAAACAGAAAAAAGTATAATATATTATAAATAAAAAGTTTTACAGACATTCTGAGTCTCCTTGTGATTCAGTTTCACAATAAATGATCTTTGTCGCAAGCTCCACATCAGCCATACTGAAGACTCACTTTATCGACTGGTAAACTTCGGTTGTACCTTGTGCAATGACAATAAAGGCATTCATCCATCCATTCATCCATCCATTCATTCAACCATTCATCCATCCATTCATCCATCCATTCATTCATCCATTCATCCATCCATTCATCCATCCATTCATTCAACCATTCATTCATCCATTCATCCATCCATTCATTCATCCATTCATCCATCCATTCATTCATCCATTCATCCATCCATTCATCCATCCATTCATTCAACCATTCATTCGTTCTTACTTCTCAGACAAAAGGAAGACAAACGTGATTTCTTCCTGAAATAAATGTATTTGGTGAGGATTCAGTCCTAGGGTCACTGATGTAGGAATTGCAGACGTGTGGGGGGTCCCATGTGCCATTTTTATCCTCACACAGGGATCACAAAGATCCCCCCCCCGGAAACCCAGCTGACTCAGGCGAGCTCCTCACTTGGCCGCTTTCTCCCGTGCTTTTGTGCTCGGTGGTTTCTGAGCCTTTCATCCATATCATGACACTGGAAACATCACTTAAAGGGCACTTCTCGCTGAATAGTGATGTCAGTGGGTGTGTGGGGTGGGAGCACGGCGGGGCAACAGTCAGGGTCGCCGTGGCGACACGCGTCACCCCTGCACACGCACATCGATCGTGTTCCAGGAGATGTGGTTTTGGGGCAGAGATCTCGGCTCTGCTTGGAAACCCCTATAAATAAGTAAAAAATGAAGCTGCTTTCGGGAAGGGGGGTGGGTGGGGGCTGTAATGGCTCTGCAAGGAATGCATTAAATCGCTTAGCACAGGTCTGTGAAAGCGCTGGCTAAGATGTAGCCGTCCCCAGAGACGCCTGCCACGTCTTTCCTTATCTAATGGAAATATACATTTGCTAAAATTACAAAATTGACCGTGTCTTTATCGCAATTATGTTTTTAAAATTCAATTACAGCTAAAACAAACGGACCCAGAAATGTAGAATTGTCCTGGCTTTCCGAGTGCTCACATCTGTGCGCCGGTTCGTTTCTGCTTCTGCTCTAGCTGTGGCTTCCAGCTTTTTATACACACGTTTTATATATAGCGCTGTGAAAGCTATTGTTTTGCTGTTTGGGTCTTCTTGCTTTTAGTAGTTAGTTAGTAATGGTTAGTAGTTATCTTGCATCTTAGTAGATAGTAATAGTTAGTAGTATTCTTGATTTTTAATAGTACTTACTGGAGAATGTTTGTTTATGTGGGAGTGTGATGTAACCAGCTGCCAAATGAGGAAGTTCCTGCCTCTCTCTCCTGCTATTTTGCACTTAGTGAAAAGCCGCTGCCCTGCATTTCTGCATCAGGGCCGAGCGTGACACCCGCAACGGTGTGACACCGCGGGGGGGGGGGGCTTGTTACGTGTGTGTGTAGCTTGGCCCTCTAAGTGCTCCTTTGGTTACACGTCTCCCTTGAGCAGCCATGATGCCCTGGGTGCACTTGTGTGTGTGTGTGTGTGTGTGTGTAAGTGGGTCGGATAAACATTATATTGTAGGGACCTGTTATTTTGACGTTGTGGGGACCATTTCCTTGGTCCCCACAAGAGGGAATTCAATTTTATAAAAATCTGTGAATAAAAAAACTAAAAATGGCAAAAGACTGCGTGTGCTTGTGCGTGCTTGTATGCGTGTATGTGCCCAGGTGTGTGTATGTGTGTGTGAGTGCATGCCTGTGTGTGTGTGTCTGTCCATGTCTATATTATGTCCACACAATGTGATAAAAAAAATAAAAATTTTGACATTGTGGGGACTTATTATTTTTTTTGGTCCCCAGAAAGGGAAATTCAGTTTTATAAAAATCTGTGAATCAACCAAAAATAACTAAAATAGCCAAAGTCTTTTTTTATTTTGTTTGGTTACTTATGGTTAAGGTTAAGGCTGGACTGTGCAGGTGTGTGTGTGTGTGTGTGTGTGTGAGAGAGCTTGTACTTAAATGTGTGTGTGCTTGAGGGTGTATGTAGCACAGTGACAGCCATGGGTGAAGCAGCTCTTTAGGGACTTTTTCACCAAGTAGGATCCCATGAGTCACCAGGGGAAGAACTGATGTGTGTGAGTCAGTCCTGAATGACCAGGAGGCAATGGGCTCACAGCCTGCCAAGGTTCAGGGGCTTCCCTGGGGGGGGGGGCAAGGAAAGACTGGGAGGGGGGGCCAGGGAGCGAGAGACTGGGGGGGACAGGGAGAGAGAGACCAGGCAGGGAGACTGGGGGGAGTGGGGAGAGTGAGACTGAGGGTGGGGTAGGGAGAGAGGGGGGTGGAGGGGGAGGTGGTTGAGGGAGGACATCTGCTTCAGCCTGTGCTCCTCTCCTCTCCTCTCCTGGACACTGTCTGTGAGGTGTTCTGGGAGTGAGATGTTTAATACGGACACGCCTGCCATTTCGAACCTGGGACCACTAGCAGGTGCTAATATAGCCTTTGAGAGCTAAGTACGTCACTGAAGGCTTTTGCCTCGGTCAGGATCGCTTGTAGGACTCTTTCTTTTGCCAGACAGCTGCTGACACATTTGATCATTTTTGAACATAATGAAAAAGTCTTATTATATGAGAGCAGTGTAGAAGGAACCACGAAGTCATAGGAGATACAAACTCTGCAAGGGTGCTTCCTGTGTGCACTGTGTGTGTGATCAGCCAGCCAGGCTCCCGGACCTGACCGGCCTGGTAAGTTTCCACCGGCACCCGTCTGGCACTGACTGGGCTGCCCTGGAAGCCCCCCCCCCACGCTCGGCCCGGCCAACACACATCTCACATAATGAGCAGGCCGGGCCTTTAATTTGAATTTGCGATCAGATCTGCGGCTCCGTGGTTCACAGGCGGGGGGCAGCAGGGCTGTTTTTGAGACTCCCAGGCGAGGAGTCCTGTGGTAAACAGGAAATGACCCTGGTCCTCGGGGGTGAGGGGGGGCATGATGGCATAGACTCCTCATTAAGCCGTATGCATACAGCTCTTCAACAGCGTCCCCGTTGTGTGCCACAGAAAGGGACGACGCATTTCCTGTGACTGGCTGATTTTCTAGCCGAACAGGGTGAATGTGGGAAATCATATGTATTCCTGAGAAAAATAAGCAGTTCTCACCATGGACAAAACCCCAGCCCATCACCGATACGGAACCGGGGCTCCATGTGTTTGGAACGGAGAGATTGCACTACTGATCCATCCTGGGTCCTGCATTACTGCTGCTAATTAAACCAAATTAATCATTTATATTTCGTAAGCTGCACTTCAAAAGTACACAGCTGTTCTGGAATTAATTTCAGATAAAGTTAATTGTCCACCGCGTTGCTGGAAGACACTGTATCTCTTACCTGTAAGATGGATTCTAAGCCAATATCAGTGCTTGTGAAAATATTAGTTATGAGTGGACTAGCAGAGATCTGAAGTCGGTCCTTTGCAACATGTAGAGCATTTCTTATGTGAGGGAAACCAGTGTAAACTGTCATGTTTCTCATGAATTACAAAGCAAGATAACTGAACAAGATATGGGCTCCAACGGCAGGGGGGCGATGTTGTCAGCTGAGAGCTTAGTGGTGTTTTTCAAAACAAAAACAGACAAACGTTTGATTATTTGTCCGGCCTTGCGTTGCAGGCACTGCCGTAAGCAGTGACGCAGCACGGCCCTCTGAATCCCGCGATGGGTGAGGTCTCGCCGGCCGTGTAAACATTGCATGGCACCGCTAAGCCCCGCGCACAGCAGGCGGGCTGTCTTAACCTCGCAAATGTTTAAACTGCAGGCCATCTCCTGTCCCTGGAGTCTTCCAGATGGAGGGCTTATCATAACAGGAGGATGACGGAAATGTATCCGAGCATGCGCGGGTGGCATTAGAGAGCCGCCCCGCCCTCTCTCACGCAGAGGGAGTGACGCGTCAGTCTCCCTTAGCAGAAATGTGAAACTGTGATGCTCGAATCTGCCCTTAATACTAACGTCTGACTGAATGGAAACGTTCATTCACTTGTGAGGTAGCACACTGTCAATTAGGAGAGACCTCACAGGATTTAGGGCTTGTTTTAAGGTCATGGTCCTCCTCAGGTATTGGGCCGCTTGGAAAAAAAAATGGACTTGCCTGGCAGGAACTGCTCTCCTGTTTGTGCCTGTGAATGTTTGAATTGTCCTAGTTTCACTTCAGAATTGAGGAGGCGAGGGCAGTAATGAGGACGGAGGTCCCAGAGGAAGCAACCACTCAGGGCACAAGCCCTCCTGGTTGGGGGTTTGGAATGGCAAAGAACAATGATGTCAGCACAGTGATGTAACATGCTGTCTCCTCCATTCACCTCCTGACCTGCCCCTTTACAGAGTGATGTCACATGCTGTCTCCTCCGTTGACCTCCTGTCCAGCTCCTTTACAGAGTGATGTCACATGCTGTCTCCTCCGTTGACCTCCTGTCCAGCCCCTTTACAGAGTGATGTCACATGCAGACTCCTCCCTTCACTTCCTGAGCCGTTTCTCTGCCCATGTCCTCCACAGGCCCTGAATAAAAAGGAGCACAGAGGCTGTGACAGCCCTGACCCGGATGCCTCCTATGTCCTCACGCCTCACACTGAAGAGAAGTATAAAAAGATCAACGAGGAGTTTGACAATATGATGAGGAGTCATAAGATGGTGAGTATATCCGGCCGCCAGCTTCGTTTCCCTCGGTACCGCCTCCCTCTGGCAGCAGGAAGCTCGTAGCGCACAATTAAATATAATTCCAGTTTGCTCTTGTTTTATTGCTGCATTTCTGTCTTTAGCCTGGTAAGATCACGGCGTTCAGACAGATGAACCCACCCCTTCCCAAAAGCCGTCGTGCTCTTGGCTGCTCCCGGCTTTTTCCACGTTCTCCTGAGCCGTGCCCAATCTCCTGATGATGCAGCTAGAAATGTCATTCTTCATGGTGACATGAGCAGGGCCAGTGCTGAGGGTGGGGAGCTTTCACAGTGACAAGGCAGAGTCTGATGGTTTGATGCTGGAGCTGCCCTCTGGCCGGCCGGCCTCTTGTTTACCTCTCTAAGCATCACCAACCCACCCATGTTCCTCAGAAGCGAGACGCTATCAGTACCTATGGACGCTCAGGGCAACTGTCATCTTCTCTGAGGTCACGCTGAAATCACTGAAGGATTTAACATGGAAAACTAAGGGGAGGGTGGGGGTCACTTTTGGAGGAACGGTACCACATTTGTATTAATTCTGTCAAACCACCAAATTCCATTCAAGTGATGATATTCCCTGTGAAGTAAAGTATTCCCCTTTTAATTGGAATTTAGGTTTGGGATCTCACAGATCATACCTTGTGACGGACCCCCTCAGATCTCCTGTCTCCCGAGCCCTTGCTTGTTGTCTTTCTGGCCGCGACCATCTTCCAAGTCTGTACCCTACTTAATCTTCCAGGCTATGACCGTTTCCCCTGTCGGTATCCTTCGAGCTCTTCCAGGCCATGACCATCTCCCCTGTCGGAATCCTTCGGGCTCTCCCAGGCCACGACCATCTCCCCTGTCGGTATCCTTTGGCCTCTCCCAGGCCATGACCCTCTCCCTGTCGGTATCCTTC